AACAGGGCAATGGAGAACCAGTAAAAGTCATTTTTTCCTCTATGTCTGTGATGTAAATGTGTCTGAGGGGATACTTCCATCAATGGGAGCAAACTCAACATCTGAGACAATCTCTCTTTGTCCATATTTTGGCACTAAAGAGTGTAAGAATGGGTAATCCCCTCCTTAAGTGATTCTTTTATGTGCAGACACTCAGACTGTAAGAAATAGGGCAGGATCCAGAGTAAGTATCTTAATCATTATGCTTCCAATTACTTTTCACATATGTTTACTAAAGAGCATCATGTGGAAATACCAAGCTGACAGACATTATGCTTCCCCCCCCCCTTTTTTTTTCTTATTCCATCTTCAGGCTATAAGCCAAGTTGACAGACATTATGCTTTTTTTCCCCCTTTTTTTCTTATTCCATCTTCAGGCTATAAGTCTTGGCACCTTTCAGAGCTGAGTCTCTCATGCTGACTGAAAAGAACATTGTGATATATAATTTGTATGGCTTTGAAGCATCTATGATTACAAGGGAAAGGTGTCTAACTCTTCTCTGAAGTATCCTGCCCATTATGCTGCTTCTCATATAAGGGGCATCCTGTCATTTTATAGTATAGATTGACATAAATTGTGTCTGACTCCAGGTCAGTGACACAGTTCCAGAACCTAAAAATTTAGAATAGAAACCACTTGGGAATCTGTCTAAAATGTTGAAATCTTCCCTGAGGTAAACAACTGTTGTTCATTTCTTTCAAAAATACATGGATGGAAAAACAGTTTTAACACATTTTACTATCTGTGAAGCAGTAGGCTAGATAACACAAATGTATTTTGTGATACAGTGGAATATATTCAGTCCTCAGCTTTATTCTCTGTGAGGGCCATTTGACATCAAGTCATTGAACTAGCTGTAAGTTTGTGTTCTAGTTTGCTTTTCTTTGGGAAGGAAGTGTATGATATCTATTGGTGGCATAGGCTCCTTAGGCCATAAACATTTGTAAAAGTGGCTGAAATCCTGTTGCTTACCAAAGTAAGTTGCAACAAGAGCAGGCCCATTGAATTAACTGACATTTGACTCAATTCTTCTGTCAATTTCACAGATTTAGTGGTCCTAATTTAGGTAGAATTTACTATGCTAAGCAACAGAATTTCAACCAATATTTCTTCTGCAAAGAAAAATCAAAGAGAAATATTTGTGGAAGATTAGTTGGGTACCAAAAGACATATGAAGAGTCTAGATAATCATAGCATGCACACAGCCATCATCTGCTTTTCACAGTTAAAGTCATTAATATACAATTGAATTCATGCAAGCTGTATTGAGACACATATATCCATTATCTATTCCACAGTGACATTGCTATTGAGCTATGGAAGATGCATCAGCTATTTAAAACAACAAGAAATTAATATGGAATGTATACTTCTTGGTTTCAGTCTTTGAGTTTTGTTATTTCACTTCAAACATGTCTGCAATCATTATGTCTGAAAAAGTGAACAACAGGGTCACACAAAAGTATTTTCATCCTGCATATATCTTTTTGGAAGAGAAATAATTTGGCAGTAGGTAAAATTAAGCTCCTTAACATTCTCGTTATGGAAGTAAAAGGTTTTGGCTAAGTGTGCCATGATGATGCACACGTGGAAGTGAGTCTCAGCCATGTGAACAAGCTGTGATCGGAATGATTCACTATTTGTATGGGAGAGCTCTAATTCAAAAACAGGAGAATCAGTGTGATGTACGAGCCTCGTGGCACAGTGGTTAAAACGAGCCTCGTGGCACAGTGGTTAAAACGCTGTACTGCAGCTAAAACTGTGCTCACGACCTGGGGTTCAAATCCCAGGTAGCCGGCTTAAGGTTGACTCAGCCTTCCATCCTTCCGAGGTCGGTAAAATAAGTACCCAGCTTGCTGGGGGGGGGGCAATGTGTAGCCTGTATAATTAAAAATTGTAAACCGCCCGGAGTGTGCTTGTAGCGCTATGGGGCGGTATATAAGTCCAAAGTATTGGACAGAGACAGGAGATATAAAGGACTGAGATGGGCGTACGTCCAAGCAATTATTGAGCAGGTAGGTCATTAAGTGAGGAGTGCCTGTATTTTTAATACAGCACAGTACAGTGTTTGCAGTTTGTGGATAAGTGAATCAGTGGATATTGATTCAGTGGATATGGGGGTCCTACTGTAATTAAGAAATATGAAATATGAAATATGATTGATTGTCATCTGAACCCATTATAGGGGGGCAGTAGAAATTCTTAGATTTTTCTTTAAATATACTTTAAAGAAAAGTGGTGGCGCTGTGGGCTAAACCGCAGAAGCCTGTGCTGCAGGGTCAGAAGACCAAGCAGTCGGAAGTTCAAATCGACGCGACGGAATGAGCACCCGTCGCCTGTCCCAGCTCCCGCCAACCTAGCGGTTCGAAAGCATGCAAATGCGAGTAGATAAATAGGGACCATCTCGGTGGGAAGGTAAACAGTGTTCCGTGTCTAAATCACACTGGCCATGTGACCACGGAAAGATTGTCTTCGGACAAACGCTGGCTCTATGGCTTGAAGAGCGGGATGGGCGCCGCCCCCTAGAGTCGGACACGACTGGACAAAAATTGTCAAGGGGAACCTTTACCTTTATACTTTGTTGGATGATGTATCATTATGATTATATTTGCTTATTTTTAACAAAACTCAAGGAATTCAAGAAAAGCCTTGTTCCTTAGGCAGAAATGTTACATGTATGGATGTGGCCTAAAGAGATCTTACTTACTTTTCAACTCACTTGATTATAGGCTATAGGGCTGTAAGGGAAATATAGTGAGATGTAAATGTAGTGGTGCCACAGGCAACGCTATGGAAACTGTGGCATCTTTTGAAGAACTTTTAAAACTCTGTTCAAAGGGAGGAAAAATAAATTACTTTATAGTTTAAATAGAATATATAATGACATCCCTTGAGTAATGGATTTCCTTGTTCATTTGTCATTTTCTGTTCTAAGTAAAGGCTTGACTCCCAATTAAGGCATTGCTTTGTATGCATAGTTATATGTGCATGATGGACTTAAACTTATAATTGAAAATTGCAGCCCCAAACAATGTATTCTTATAGTCTGATAGCCACAGCTTCTTCCAAAAATCCTCCCTAGGAACCACACTTTGTTGTGATGTTGTGTTGTTCCAGTGCGTGTTGTGCCCAGAGTTAACAAAGGAACAGTATTTTGTGTTGAACAGTATTTTGTGTTGAAGGCAGTCAAATCCTTGTTTTTCCTGTTTTTAAAAAAGAAAGGAGCCATTTGACTCAACTCCTCCACAAGCTTGCAACCCAGTTCTCGGTTTGCCCCTTGCCTGATTTTATTTTCTGGGAGATTCAGTTTTGTTCCCCCACTGAAATGCCAATAAAGATCTGGGCATGATACTGCTAAGTGTGTGAACAAAGGTAAATTCTTATTTGTGTAGGCAGCAGGATTACTCCTACCTATTACCTTGTGTACATTGTGGATTTACTGTAAAACAGTATCATCTGGGAGTTGTTTGGATAGCAAGCACTTATGCAGAGGCAATTCCTGTGAGAATGTAATCTTCAGATCTTCTTTGCAATTTGCTTGATTTGTTGGAACTTTTTGTGCTGGTTATTTTTTGTTTGTAGGAAAAATATTGTACAAGGCAAGCGCTTGAAATATAAGGGCACTGTTTATAGCTGTACACAGGTGACTATGGCACTGTAGCTCAAAATCTATTTACATTTTGCAAGCAAAAGCCACCTATAGCCCTAGAATAGACCACTCACTCAATACGTTACAGCCATTTTGGACAATAGTATTTCCCTGTCCCAGGCTGTGTGGTAGACCTGTGGTCACTTGCATTCAGACCCCCAAATGTAGACAACTAGTGGCACACAACAGGCCACGTTTCATGGATAAGGAGACAGGAATGAGACTATACTGCAAATCTGGATGCCAACTCTGTCCCCACATATACCATATTTGCCGGCGTACAAGATGACTTTTTTGGCCCCAAAAACATGTCTCCAAGTGTGGGGGTCGTCTTGTACACTGGGTGCACTTCATTTGAGTGACGCGGGGCCGCAGTGGCCGGGGAGGAAGGCAGGCAGGCAGGCAGTCGGTCCGGATGGAGGGAGGGAAGCAGAGCCGGCCATGCCTCAGCGGCCAGAGCCCGCCGCCGGGCTGCACCGCCGGGCTGCCCGCCGCCCCATGCTGCTGAGCCAGCGGTGCGCTCGCTCACCTGCCATCCAACTGGCTGCTTCCCCTCTTCCTCCTCCCCCTCCTCTTGAGGCCGCCCGCCCAGCTGCTTCCCCTCTTCCTCGCCCTCTCACTGCTGAGCCAGCTGCTCGTTTGCCCGCCCGCCTGGCCGCTTCCCCTCTTCCTCCTCCTCCTGCCGCTGCCCACCCAGCCACTTCCCCTCTTCCTCGCCCTCCTCCCTGCCGGCCATGAACTTCCAGGGCAGGCCCGGGCAGAGCCCCAGGCAGCTGTCGCCGGCGCCGCAGCAGAGCCGTCCACTCTATATTTTGAGTGGAAATGTTGGGGGGGTCGTCTTCGCCCAGTCGTCTTGTACGGCGGCAAATACGGTACTCTGGAAGCACCAAACAATGTCATCCAGAACATTGGAGACATATCCTCTTATTCATCTGCAATGTGACCTATTTCATTTTCTTTGCCAGCCGTGCTCCTTTGTATTCTACTTAGGGCAGTCCATATGCAAGAGAATAAATACATATGGCTAAATATTTCAATCAGTGTGTAAGAGGAAGTGGATTGTAAATGCTAAAGCTCACACTGAAATACATCTGTTAGTTTTTAAGGTGCCATGAACACCTTTGTTTTTGTTTTAGTTTTGTTATCCATGCAACACAAAAGTTTATCTGAGAAATTAAATTGTCTCATTGTAAACTGTGTGGTATATGGCTAGCAGTGTGGTATGGTGGTGGTATGGGCCCATGTCCAATGTGTTGAAGTGAAAGTATTTCTGGTAAAATGCTTCTAAACTCAGTTTTCCTCCTTCACCAGATACTGAGCATCTTTATACTGTCGTGTATCAAGAAGTCTGTGGTCGTTTTGGAAAGACCTACACCTGGGACGTGAAATCTTTAGCAATGGGTAAAAAAGCATTGGAAGGAGCAGAGATCATTCGAGATGCCTTAGACCTTCCTATCACCAAAGAAGAATTACTGCAAGAATGTCAAATTAAACAAGAGAAATTATTTCCCACAGCTGAATTGATGCCAGGTTGTATTTTTTCTTAGCAAATTAATTGTCATTTAAATTCTACCAGCTCTTTTTTGCAGATTTAAAGCAAAATTGAGGGTGGGGGCTGGTTGCTTTCCGATTGCCTTAGAAGTCAGAAGAAAATTGACATTTAAACCATTATTAAGATATCTTCTGAGAACAGAATAATAAGTATGATCCACTTAACAGCAGTTCATTCTGTAGTCTTCTATTTTGGAAGAAAGAAGACATGCTCTCTTTGATAGCTCTGACTATGTCGATGGCTATTACAAAATGTATTAAGCTGTTCCTAGATATTTCATAATGACTTCTTTTTAAAATGTGCAAATTTATTTGTATATTTTATTTATTTTAGATATGTATTATCTCTTGTGAAACGCCATACATGTAAGGAAAGTTGTGTATTTGGTAACATAACTTTCTGGTCATCTCTTGTATACCCAGGCAGGCAACTGAGTGTGTGACCTGGGTATATCTGAGTGTGTGACAGGCAGCTGAACAATTGCACACATCAGTTAACGCAAATTTTGATCTTATACTGTGAAACCAAATAAGATTCTGGCTAGTGTGCTTACTATAATATTGCTAATCAGTTTATATAAACATGTACAGTATAAAAGGCAGTATAAAACATACATTGTGCAATATAAAAAAACAGGAAAAATACCTTTAAAGCAATTAAATGATTAAAAGCATCTGAGCAAGAGAGAAGACATTAAACTATGGAAGGCTTACATCAATAAACAGCTTTTTGAGAGGTCTGTTCTCTAATATGTTTTTGAGAGTACAGTTCTGCCTCTCCAGTTACCTGAGAGAGAGGTGCTATCACTTGAAAGTCCTGCCTCCCTGATCTTTGGCATCTTGCAGGCTACAAAACAACAAACAAACAAACAAAAGGACTCCAATGAGGATCTTTGTAGTTAACTAGGGAAAGAAATCTTCCAAGTATCCTGTTGAAACTGAACGTGGTGTTAGAGCTCAGAAATACTCTACATACTCAGTAGCAGCTTATGGGCAGCCAGTGCAATTCTTACCTCCATATTCCGCCGCTTGCGCTAGCTACTACATTCTGCACTAGCTGTGGCCCTTTGAAGCAGGTACAAGGGCAGCCCCACATAGACTATGTTACAGAACTCTTAATTATATGCCACCAAGTCAGCTCTGACTTGCGGCATACCTCGCAGGGTTTTCTGGGTGTATGTATGGTACTCAGAAGTGGTTTTCCAGTTTCTCCTGATGATGGCACACTGGGACTGAGCAGCTTGGCCAGGGAGGCACAGGCGGTGGGGTACTTGAGCCCACCAGTTGCACACACTCTCTATGATCTCTCCTGCAAGGCACAGTGAAAATTTGAACATCTGCGGCCACATGCTCATACCCAGTGAGCTATACCAGATATAACCGAACGTATTAGTGCCGGGGTCATAGACAGAAATCTGCCCTTATCTATCAGTGGGTATAGTTCATGTCTGAATGAAAGCTGGTAATGGGAATACTAAGCTACCGAAACCATCAAGGTCTGCAAAAAACAGATCAAGAAACAGTTCCATATTGCATAGCTGCTCCTTCAGAAAGAGTGCTGGGTATGTGCTGGGGCATAAACGTTACGCTGAAATAGGATGGAACAAACCAAATGGTGGAAATTGATGAAGTAAAGTTGTCTAACCTCCCAAATTTTTGCTTTTTCAAGCCCACTGAATAACTGCTCTAAACTCATTTGTTACACCAGTAGTAGGAAATTAGAGATATAGTCCTTTCCCCGACTGGCCTCCTGTTACTTCTGAGGAAATACTGGATTTAATCAGCTCACTGAAGTCTGGTAAGGCCCCAGGCCCTGATCAAGTCCTCACTGAGATTCTGACCAGTAACCCCCACTGGTGGTCTCATTCCTTGGCTAACTTTTTCACCTTAGTTAACCACTCTGGCATCCTTCCTAACTCTTGGTTAATCTCCACTCTGATTCCAATATTCAAAAAAGGTGATCCCTCTCTCCCTAGCAACTACCGCCCAATTAGCCTTCTATCTTTTATTGGCAAACTTTACTCAAAATCTCTTCTAGCCAAACTTTCTGCCTGGGCTTCTTCCATTAATCTTCCGGGGAAAGAGCAAATTGGCTTCCGCTCTGGAGCCTCTACTCTTGATCACGCTTTACTTTTATCCCA